GGGAGGCAGGCACCTGCCTGCGGGCTCATATGAGGGCAGGTGAATGCAATAAATGCTGATAAGCTGTGCTTAAGGAAGTGCCTTTATTTCCCACCTCCACCAGCCCTCAGGAAAACCACTCACCACAACCTCCAAATCAGAGCTCAGTAACCTCTGCATATCAGACATCTGCATAAGAATTTCACCTTCAAGGAAAAAGACAGGAGAAGGTTTAAAAATCCTGCGGCCATTTCCCTGTGTGCCCAAGGAGGCAGACCAGCATGATGCAACTCAGGCTGACGAAACACAGGTATGAAAGTCCAAGAGATATCGCAAAGCACTGCTCTCTGCACCCTGAGAGAGGGTGGTAGCCTTCCTCCCCAGGCACTGACAACACGGGGTTGCTCCAGCCCATGAAGTGGTGGGACCAGTGTTCTCTTTTGGCACCAAGTGCCAGCAGGCAGCCTCGCCTCTGCCATGGGCTCTGGGCATTGGGTTTCTGCTCTGCCATAGGCCCTACAGGTGCCATTTCTAATGCCAGTGGCACCCCAGCTGCTGTGCACAGTTGTGGCTGCCCTATAGGAAAGCAGCCACAGACCTGCTGCTGATGCTGTGCATGGTCCTGTTTCACTGGTGTCAGTATTATGAAAACAGGAAAGGAAGAGACTGACGACAGGGAGCAGAGGAGCTAGCTGGGAGGTGCATATGACAACAGGAGTCTGCAGAAGGGACACATCTGCTGGAAGCTTTTCACTAAAATGTTCAGCAGCAGACAGTTCCCTGAGCACATTTTCAGCAGTCGCCACTAGGCTGCAGAGTTATTTGCACTGCTGAGTGTAAGCCCCTCAGCCCCAAGCTGCCATTCCACCTGGTTGCAGGCTCAGGAGGACAAGACCTCATCAACTGTTGTCAGTGCATGCTCTCCAGCTTTTTCCCCCACACCTGCAAGGAGGAAGAAAATGGTTCCTCCCTAACGAAAATTTCAACTCTCAGGGAAGGAGGACTCAACAAGGACTGGTTTCCATAAGAGGCCCATCATTGGAGGTCCATCCCAAGAGATGGGCTCAGTCATTGATCTCAGAGAGATACAGAGACTGTGAGAGATATTCAAGGACACACAATAAATTTGACTCTCAGCACCTGGACAGGGCCTGGTGTGGTGAGACCATTTAGAGGAGCTATCTTTCTTCCCTCTATTCCTGGAAAGAGACCAGCTAAGGGAGAAGGCAAAAAAAACCTAACTGTGGCTCATCACTGGACAGAGTATGGTGTGCAGGAGAGCCTTACCCAGCATGTGTGAGGTGGAGCTCTGCAGAGCTTGCTCCCCAATCTTCTCAATTGCCTTAAAGTACACTTCAGCTGCTTTGGATAATGCTGTGAGGAGAGAAGAGGAGAGAGGAGGGAGATAAGGGTCTGGCCTGCCTTCCCACCATCACCAGCTCCAGCAAGCAGAACAGAGAACAGCCACCCCCTGGTACGTCGCCTATAGGCAAAGGCACCCCATCTCTCCCCATCAGCAGCAGGTCCTGGAGTAGAAGAGTACTTAAGGGCAGCTCAGGACATGTCAGAGGTGGCAGATCAGCAACCTTGTCCTGGGTGACGGCACAGAAGATGCCCAGGATGGATGCAGCAGTATGGTCTGGAGCCCTGGCTGGGCGGGACCCCACTCACCGTGGAAGGCACGCAGGTAGTTGTTCCCCAGGTACACCAGGTTCTCCAGCGCAGGGTTGAACTGCTCCAGGATACTCTGTGGTCAGGCAGAAGCACGTTAATGCTGTTCTTCCCCACACCCCAGAGACTTCAGCAAGCTGATGCCCCCTTGCTGCAGTTTGGCTGGATGAGAGTTCCCCCAGCCACAGCACAGGCTGGCTGTGGGGATGTACAGCCGAGCACAAAGTCAGCTCCCTGCAGTGGAGGTGGTTAGGAATTTTGGCTGCCCTTAGTCTTCCAGGAGAGGAAGCCAGCCAGGAGAGGAGCAGTGCCAGAGGGCAAGGTAGCCCACTGCAGAGCCAAGGGGTTACCTGACTGAATATGGCTTTCTCCCAAGGTCCTACACCCATTGCAGGCAGGGGAGTAAGTGCAAGGGGATCTGAATAGCCTTTCCCCTCATCCCAGAGCTGGCCAGGGTGAGAGTCACTGTTTATTATCTAGGCACAAACACAACTCTTTCCTGGCCAGGATGTGGTGCACTGCCACACTCAGGAGCTTAGTAAGAGAAGGGATAGACTGCTTCACACCAGCCTTTCCGCTTTTATTTGTTGTATTTATCAAAGGTGTTCATTGACTACAGAGAAGACCAGAGATTCGAATAAGCAATTCCACCTTCTGCCAGCCCCCATCACCTTGATTCAGCACTAAAGTGTGCAAGAAAACATTTATAAAGATCAGACAGTTCTTTCCAGTGAGGGGGAAAACAGCCGATCAAACTTCTTCCTACGAGCAACCAAGGTGGTTCACCCTTCATGCTCCATGCCCCAACCACCCCGGTTGCGCAATTCCTTCCCGAATCTGCCTCTAGGACCCACACCATCATCTCCTCCTGCCAGCCATCTGCTCACAAACACAGCTCAGAGCCCACAGGAGCTGCTGGAGTTCTGCCTGCAAAGGGATTCAGCCCTCAGCTGTCCACCAATGGGAGCCTTTGGCAGAAAACAGCTCTTCTCCCACCCATACGTCTCCCCTGCACCAACAGGAGCAGTCTTTGATGCCAGCGCTCACCTTATAGATGGAGATGGTGGATCTGTAGGACAGATCCATCTCTGGAGCCTATTCCCTTTCCCACGGAGAAGCAAGGAGCAAAGGAGAGTACCAGGTGCTATAATGGCCTGGAGGGCTCTGCTTCTGCACAGCCAGCTGGATGGACAGAGCCCGTCACTGGCAAGAAAGGACAGCAGGAAGACACAGATGTGGTACAAAGGGAGCACTGATGGAGTTTAATAATTCACCAGCCAAGAGACTGGAACTTGATCTCTGGAAGTAACCAGACTCTGGGGAGAGAGGAATCCTGTGACAGCCAGTAAGGACATGTGACCGCCTCCTTGCATTATTGATTGCCAGCTTGGTACCCAGCTCTCCCTGTCCTGACACCTGCAGGGCCGGCTGCCTGCCTGAGTATCCACCTTATGGTTCGCTGCCTCCGTCACTGCCACTGCTTGGAGGTGGCTTGTCCAGCCCTGCTGTGCTAGTGGAGCATCCTCAGGTCTCTCTCATGCAGACACCTTGGGAGTCAGGAGATCCCCATCAGCTTGCAATGGCAGGCAGCAAATAGCAGCAGGCAGGGAGAATGCAAGGAAAGCTCAAAACAAATCTAAACTCTTCCCTGCCCACTATTCCCTCTAACCAGGCTCCCTCCCACACCCAGTCTCAGAGATTCCCTAACAGCAGGAACAGGCTTCTGTCTGAACCCTTTCCCAGGTTTCATGTCTGGTGAGCTGGGACTGGCACTGCCATTGCAAGTGCTCCTAACACACACCTGGTAGAGAAGGACAAAGCAAAGCCCAGTCAGAGCCTCCCCTGGCAGCACCCATCCCAGTCCAGAGCAGCAGGCAAAAGGCTCACAACTGTTTGCTCAGGACGGGCCTGAAGGTCTCCATGTCACAGCCTGGCTCAGGCAGCTGAGGAGCTGATGGATGCAGACTGGGTCACACAGCCCACAGCCCCTGCACTCCCCAACATCTACTGCCAGCAGGGGAGTAGGGATGCTCCTCTGGTTTCCAGACCAAGGACACAACAGCTGAGCAGCTCGCAGGGCACTCACCCTGAGCTGCCCTGACTCTGGCTGGGACTGGGTTAATTTTCTCCCCAGTAGCCAGTACAGTGCTGTGTGTTGGACTTGGTATGAGAATAATGTTGATAACACACCAGTGTTGTAGTTGTTGCTAAGTAGTGGCTTACTCTAAGCCAAGGACTTTCCAGTTTCCCATGTTCTGACAGTGAGGAGCTGCACAGAACACTTGGGAGGAGCACAGCCAGGACAGCTAATCTGAAGGAGCCAAAGGGATTTTCCATGCCATAGAACATCATGTCCAGTATATAAACTGGGGGATTTACCTGGAGGGGTCGATCACTTCTTGGGGATGGGCTGGGCATTGGTCAGCAGGTGGTGAGCAACTGGGTTGTGCACCACTTGTTTCTCTTGGGTCCTATTACTCTCTTTCTCTCTCCTTATCATTTTTATTATTATTATACTTCGGTTCAATTATCAAATTGTTCTTCTCTCAACCCACAAGGTTTACCTTTTCTTTCTGAGTCTCCTCCCCAGCAGGGGTGTGGTGAGGTGTGAGTGGTTGGGTGGTACTTGATTGCCATCTGGGGTTAACGTGGCAACCCTCCTGATCTCCCCATCTGCATACAAGGAACCTGCTCCAGGAAGTCCCTGTAGACTTATAAAGAGGTGGGGCAGAGTGCAAGCCAGGGGCAAAAAGCAGAAAGGAGCTTAGGGTCTCTCCATCTTAAGTTCTGTTTTTCTACAAGAAGGTAAGGCCCTCTGTTATATAGGAAAAGACTTTTACTCTGCCTAAAATCCTCCTAATTCCACAATCTCATTTGTGAAATTGAAGATCAGAAGGCAGATAATCAGTTTTTAGACCTACTCAGCACTTTGGTGTCCTGTAGGAACCACTGGGCAGCAGGTCCAGCAGGTTTGCAGCAGTTACCTTGTCAGGGAACCACTTGGGGATACCAAAATTAAAGCCCCATCTCCAGCCTTTTGTATCCCAAAGGGTTTCAGTGTTCTACTTTTCGGGCCTGGCCAGCTCTAAGAGGATCCTGATATTGCAGCTGGTCCAAAGCCTTTTTCCTCTCATTGCAATTATTGTGGAACTATCAGCCACTCACACCACATATGTGCTCCCAGGGCAGTCTGCAAGGACAGGTCATTCACCTCTTGGTATAATCCTGTGTCTCAAGGAGCCCTATTCCTGATTGTGTACCTGGAAGAAATTCAGAGGCCGCAAGCTCAGAAGCCCTCTGGGAACTTGCAGGATAGAGAGAGAGAGAGGACAACCATTGACTGCATGACATCAGAAACAAATGCAAATCCCTCTTTATTTCAGGTCATGTCAGTTTTTCACAGAAGCCCTGTTGGCAACAGCAGTCCATTCAGTCAAATGCAATGGATTAAAAATTCAATTTTTTGGGGTACTCCTCAAAATGCCTCCAAATACATACATAAGTTATTTATAAATATGCAAAATTTACGATAGAAACAATGACTAGTATAGCAGTTACAGTGAAATTTCCAGTAGTAAAAAAAAGTAAACCCAAATTGTCACAGGGTCAGCTTCTTTGGAGGGAACTGATCTCAGAGCATTTCAATTCCATACTAAGATAAATGACCTCTCTACTAAGCCAAGGCTCTTGTCCCTTACCCTGAGCTTGCTGCAAGTAAATTCAGGCTTTCACATCTCAGCCCTTGAGCAAAGAGCAGCACAGTAAATCAGGTGGCACAAAAAGCCCTGGGTGGGAGGGGTCTGCTCCCACCCTAGGCACAGTCAGTACCTGTGTTGCCAGCCCATCTCAGAGGGGAAAGAAGCTGCTACAGAAAACCTGCCTCAGGAAAGGTTTGCCCTTCTCCCAAGGCCAGCTGCAACATTCTGTGTCATATCTACTCCAAAAAGTTGAAGCATTTCTGCTTCCCTTCAAACTGGGTGTGTTGAAGGAAAAATAATCCCTTTTTCCCATACTATACGCTCTGAAATAACTTGGCCCCAGTGGGCCAAGCAATCCCTGAAGCTGTCATCAGGTCTTAGCCCATTCTGTGACGTGGGAAGGTGCACGGTGCTTTGTCAGTGGAGGTACTGCACAGACAGGAGACATTCCAGCTGCTACAACTCAAGACAGGTAGGTGGGGGCTCTGGATTCTGAGTCAGACAGCAAGGCAGCAAAACCAAGCACAGCAGCAGAGACAGGGCTACAGAACAAGGATAACTGTCAGCATTTCATAGCTGTCCAGGAATACATGTGTATGTGCACTGTTGTCTATTAAATATTATTAGTTCCTCATAATTATCACTAGTCCCTCCCCCAGCTCAACACCTTGGTTGAAGGGCAAATCTGAGCCATTTCAGTGTCTGCTGCCCCTTGCCTTTGGCATGCAGAATGGGAACCTCCAGGTCAGTCATCGGCAGAGATGTTGCACCAGCTGCTCGAACTGCTCCCGGTGCTGGTAGATGTACAGCTGGGTGTCCCAGAGAGCGTTCACCAGCACTGTGTCATTCACCTCGTCCAGCATCACCTCCGTGTGCAGCTGAGGGCTGAGCCTGCAGACACCAAGACAGCATCACCAGCTGGGCACAGATGCGGAGGTGGTCAGGCACAAGCCTGCCAAGCAGGAGACTTTTGCCAAGGGACTCCTGCCACTGAGATGCTCACTGGCCCTGTATCTGTCAGACTTGCAGAGCCACAGTTCAGCAACCGCAGCACATGAGGGACAAATCTAAAACAGGCTGTGTGTGGTGGAATGGGGCAGGATGCACATCCTGAAGGACCATGCAAGACAGCAACCCGCAAGCCTCCACTAAGTGTCCCCAGACCAGGCGTGCTTGGAGCATCAGTTCATGCAGAGGCCAGGGCATCCTCTGTTGTGTCACTGAGGCATGAGGGTACGGGCAGGGGACAGGTTTGGGCAGGCATGCCTCTGGAGGGGATGCTGTTTGGGATGACGCATGCCACAGCCAGGTCTGAAGTGAGAGGGATAAAAATAGATCTGTGCAGACAGTGGAAAGGAAGCTCCTACCGGAAATACGGGACATCCGTCATCTCACACCAGGCCCTGGCACGATCCACAGCTGGGCCATCTGCGTCAGTGCACTGCAGGAGAAACAGGCCCACAGTTACAGCCTGACTGCTCTTCCCCTGCCTGCAAGACGCTTCCCTGGCACCAAGTTGAACTGCACAAGCTGCAGAGGGAAAAGGAAAACCAGGAGCAAGCTCATCCTGGATGGCCCTGCTTGCCACCAAGAGTGAGGCACCTTTTTATTTATTTATTTTTATTTTTAACGTAAGAACAGTGCTCCTGATCTTTGGGACACAAGGAATTGCATCCTACAGATCCTCCATACATCACAGCATTGAGTAGACTCCCTTAAAGAAACTTCCAGGAGGACATGAATGACAGCCTCCTTGGGATTTTATTCATTCTGTCCAAGCCCTGTAACAGCACGGCCTGTGATTACTACTATCGTGGCACAGGTCCCTGAGAGCCCTGAAATAAAAGACAGGGGAAGCAGAGGGACTCCAGGCACTTTCTGACTTTAGGAAGTTAAAAAGGAGATAAAGCAACAGAATTAAGATCACAGTCAGAACTTCCATTCTGATCCTTCTGGCTTTCATTCATTTGGAGTGTTTTCATGCACAACAGTTCATGATCTTTCTGAAACATGCAGGCTCTTATTCCTGTTACACACTCCTAACCACAGCTCTCAAAAACTGTTTTTTATTAGTGACTCTTCCACTTCTCTAGCGTTTACTGATTTCCCCAGTGGGGACAACAAGGCTTTTCTAAAGAAAAATGAATTGCTCTTTTCCAAGGAATGACTTTTTTTTTTTGGCCCGGGTTGCTCATATGGTAATCAATGCTGCAAATGTTCCTAAGGGTCACTGACCACCATCCTGTCCTCAGCCCCTTTCAGCTGCAAGAACCTGCCTTGGAACTCAAAACCCCAAAGAAGCAGACAGGTCTTCAGACCTGCTGTGCTCCCGCAATTCTTAAGTTACCCACTACATCCATGGTCAGAGCAGTTCCAAGGGAATAGAATTTACTTCCAAAAGGAAGAAGCTGAAGACTGGAAACTTTTTCTCCCTCCCTGCAAGCAACCCCAGGGGTCTTTCCCCATCCCCTCCTCCCAGTACTCACACAATCCACCACCATCTTGCCAAGTTCCCTGGCCCCAAAGACAGTCTTCGCCAGCTCCCAAGGGTTGGAGGGGCGGAAAACATCCACAGAGCTCACTGGGATCTGCGGAGGCTTCCCTGTCCCCAGGGAGACCACCAACCCCAATTTTCTTACTTCCTGCCTCCGACCCTGTGGACAAACAAAAGATTTGTTTACTAGAACCAACAACGAAGGCAGAGCATGTCTTTCACAGCAGTCCTGGGGAAGCTCTGAAAGCCAAGGCAAAAGGCTCAGTAGTCTTTTCTCTCCCCTTAAGTACAGCCTGGTGAGACAGGTGTGTAACCCACAGGAGTTCATCAGTCGCACTGTTCTGTCCCTTATCCCCCTGACTGCACCCAAACTCATGGGAACACCCTGGAGATGAGTCTCGGGACCAGATGACCATGAAACAGTACAACTCTTCAGTCATTCTGACAACACACCTTTTCAACTACAGGGAACAACAGCTGCCAGTAGTTATTCATGTTTTTTAAGAACTTGCCATACCACAGAAGGCATTCCCTCTTCGGCCTCACAGAGTACCCTACCTTTGTCTTCTCCATTTATTTTTGGGCAGAAAAAGGCCCTGCAGAGCTGCATCAAGGGCCACACACAACCATCAACTGAATCATCCTTGTTCAAAGTAGCAAGGAGAGGCTGATGAGGCTGTCTCCATGTCTCACACCCTTGTCAGAAGAGGTATCTCCCCTCCCAGCCACCATTCCCAAGACATATCCCCCTCCATACACTTCCTTTCAGGGTGCTGCACTGCTACCTAGTTTATCCACTAATATGCATCCATTGCCAAATCCATTTCCTCTTCAAGGGAGGCTCAGTGGGGCCAAAACACCCCAGTTACCAGATTTCCCTCACCTTTTTGATGAGCGTCTTATTGTACTCGTGGATCTCCGCCATGGCGTCGAGGGTCGGGTTGTTGGCCAGCAGCCCTCCGTCCAGGAAGCGGCCGATCGGCCGGAAATAAGTGGGAGCCGCACCGCTACAGCGGGCAGCGCGCCACACCAGCTGGTCTGGACAGGGAGGAAGCAAAAGGCCTCTTGCAGCAACTCTGCTGTGCACCAGGAGCACACTGCCTTCACCAGCACTAAGCAGGAGGGCTTGCAGTCCCCGAAAACCCTGCCCTGCAGTTTTGCTTCTTTCTCCCAACAGCAGGGCCTCTGCTTGGATGCACAGAATGATTTGGGGGGACTTTAAAAGATGTTCTCAAAATTTTCTACATATCCTGGGTCAAATTCACTCTCTATCTGCTTCATTGCTGCTATTTTGATAGTGAACCAGTTGTGTATGCTAGACAAAGCAGCAAGCTGGAGGGGGCTGCATGCTTCAGTTACACAGCTCTTCCATGTTTTTCTGTGAGAGCCCAGGGAAAGGTACTGACTGTATGCAGGACTGCTCTAGCAGACCCCTTCCTCATGAACCTTGCCAGCCAGTCCCTGTTCCTGGTACAAGAGAAGCCAGGGGAGGAAGAGAAAGGAGAAAAGCCAAGCACCATTAGGACCAAACTATAAGTCAAGACCAGCGATGAGCCATTGCTGGGACGCCCTGATTTTTAGAGTGATGGAAGAAGAACATTAAATATGTCCCTGTCAACCTTCTCTGCCAACCAAACGGACTTCTGTGCACCATAATTTACCTTCTGGCTGAGTGAGTGGTTTGAAAGATGCACTTGTCTTGTATTCAGTGGAGGTTTTTGTCTCTGGTACAGGGTAATTCCGGAAAAGGTGGAGCTCAGCTGGCTGTCGGTCACACAACGTCCCGGTCACCATAACCCTAGGGAAAAGGACATGAGAGAATAAGAGTAAAATGGAAAAAAAAGTATTTAGGCTTCAACAACCTGCACATCACACTCCTGCAGATCTGCTCTAAGGAGAGGCTGAGCATCTCTAGAGCACATGCAGGACAGCATCAACTAGCATAGTCCCAGGCAAGACTTACTTGGGTTTTCGGACATCTGTCATTTTGGTGTTTTCCCCAAATTCCTTCTTCAAGAACTCATCTAGGGGCTCTGACTCGTAGGGCCGAGACCCCCGGAACACCATGTCCTTCATGCGGAAGTACAGGCAGCGCATGTAGTCCATGGACTTCCCTGAGACAGGCAACAGTGTTGGCAGGAGCAGGAGCAAGAGGAAGGGTAGGCAGAACAAACAGCACATCAGAGCTAGGACTTTCCAGAACAAGCAGGAGATGGGAGGCATCACTCCCAATCCCACTCCCTTCCCAAGCTGCCTGTCATCTGCTTCATCCTCAGCAGCATGACTGGGAAGGATTACAGAGGAAGAACAAACTTGGAGCACAGTTTCCCACCACCAGAAAGTGTCAACCGCTTTGCTCTGAAGCCCCTGTGGAGAGCACAGGAAGAACGGAATATTGCACTCTGTCACCACTCACTTCCCAAAGCCCAGAAAGCTGCTCAAAGCCAGCTGATGTGAGAAGCAAGCGCAAAGCCAGGTCTAGGTTTTCCTTCATTAACGAACATCCCATTCCTCCTTTGGCAGGCAGGTACAAAAGATCTCAGTCAGGACTCAGAGAGGCAGCTCCCACCCCACACCCATTCCCCACAGAGGTGTGCTCAGGCCCACAGCAGTGAGAAGGGGCCCATTGTTTGCACTGTCCTTACCATGTACAATAGCCAAGGCCAAGATCCCTCCAGTGCTGGTCCCTGCGATCCAGTCAAAAATCTCTCGAATGGGACAGCCCGCAGCTTTTTCGATAGCCAGGAGGAGCTGGATGAGCACGAGGCCCCGGATGCCCCCTCCATCCAAGCACAGGAGGCGGTCCTGACTGGAGAGAGACGGACACAGATGACTAGCAACTGTGGGACAGATTACAAACCACAGAACGCTGCATATGAATGTGGCTTTGGGAGCAGGAAATTATGCCAGTTACTAGATTGCTGCAGAGTAATCAGTGAATTAAGAAATCCAGCAGTGGTCTCTCAGGTGCAAATAAGACACATCCAATAATCCTTGCCAGAGCTGGTGCAACACCCATTGCTCTTGCATAGCCATCTCTAACCTCTGCACCAGAGAGTACCAGCTGAAACCGCACCCAAGTCCCTTACTACACTCTAGTGAGTATTGTGTCATAAATAAAAAGCAGATAGCCCTAAATCCTGCCAGCAGCACTTCAGTGCCAACCCTTCCTCCACTCCATGCAAGATGAGGTCCTGAGGAGCTGGGCGAGCATCAGGGCAGCGTGTGGAGATGGGGTAATCACAAAGCTAAAGCAGCATTGGGTGCCCAGTGGCACAGGAAAGGGACAGAGCAGGGGTTTCACTTGCTGAGCTCAGGCTCCACTGCAGCTCCAGGGCTGCCCACAGGACAGGCAGTGGTCATTTATTGAAACAGAAATTTATCGCAAGGTGTTGGCAAAAACTGCAACAGCAATGGACATTAAATATCAGCTCTGAGGGAGCCACCCCCACGGGTGTGGGAGGGGAGAATTCACACACAGATTTCACTTTCAAGTTGCATGGGAACCTGGACAGAAGCTGCTCCTCACTTACTTTCTTCTGTCTTCACTGGGCATGTCCACAACATCTGGTGCCTTCAACAACTGTCCGAGAGTTGCGGAAACATACAGAACATCCTGGTACCCTACAGGGCCATGAACATGCAAAAGGAAAGAAATATTAGGGACCATCAGTGTGGTGAATGATTTCCACCATAATCACAGAGAGAATATCCAACTCCCTTCCCCATTGAATAAAGCTGCCTGTAGGAGACACGAGCCATCTTACCCACAGCCAACAGGTACCCCCCAGATTAAACTCCACACCAAAGAAGTGCAACACCATCCTTTAGAGTGTGCAGCTGGAGATGCACTGGTGGAGACAAATGATTTGTAGAAGCAGAAGATGAGCACAGTGGGTGAGAGAGAAGGCAGAGCCTAGCAGTGTGCCCACTAAGCAGTTTACTGCAAGCTGCTAAGATAAAACCTAAATCTACTCCTCGAGGTAACCTAGGCAGGAGAGCTGTGGAGACAGAGTGGCTTGTCATTACCCCTCAGCTGATGTTCACCCAGGCTGCCCTGGGTGCAGGGCACCGATCCAGGCTAGGTGAGAAGCCAGCCTACAAAACCAAAAGAAGAACAGGGGGAGAGAAGTTACATACTCCTGCCAGCACCCAAGCTGGAAGGTGGTTGTGTCTAGAGCACATGGAAACAATGAATGTGGTGAGGAGTTTCTTCAAGGGCCAGAGTCCAAGACAAAAAAGGGTCTTGCTCTGTCACTGCATCAGAGCTGAAACTGGGCAGGGGTTGCCTTCGCCACGCCATGGTGAGAAGAAAGTCCTGGTGTCAGCAACCAGTGAGATTTGTGGTGACAGACACACTCCAGGGTTGTCCTCCAGCCTCATAGGAAAGCCTTTGCAAAGGAAACCTCCAGCCCGAGATGGGAAGAGGTCCACAAGAAGCTGCTAGCTGCCTCCATGCTCCTCTCATGAGGGTGAGAGCCTCCCTCCAAGTCAACTCACCCACTACTCTGTAACCCCTCCCGCTGCCTCTGCCTGAGCTCAATGGAGATGGAAAGCCCAGCACTTAGAATAGACCCATGTGTTTATTCACAGAGTCTGGGCACTATGAAGCACAAGCTACAACACAGTTGCATGTCCTAAAGTAGGCTTTTCCTCTACATAACAAACCTGTGACCCGGGTTACTTATCCTCAGACTTCACCCCTTCCCTCTCCCAGCTGCTGGCCTCCAGGATCTGAAAAAGTCACACTTCTAAATCCCCTTGTGCCCAGCACAACACTGGGTGGTCCTCAAGGCAGACCACTAAGTACATGACCCAGTGGATAAAGTACATGCCAGCAACTAAGTGCTACACCTCTTCCAGAGGGGTGAAGGAATCAGTTTTCCTGCTCCTTTTTACAGAGCTGCATCTGTCAGTTCTATAAAACAAAAGTCTGGAGTATGAGAGTTTAGAGTACACACAGGAAAAGCAGAGAAAAGAGATAGGATCCTGCAACAGCTGAACGAGGACAGAGCCACGACAGAGTCACCAGATACTGAGGGCTAAGACAGTTCCCAGAGCATGGCCCATCTGAAGAAGAGATCCAAGACAGCACTGTGAAGCATGAAGGAAGGAGAACAAGAGAGGGCCAGGGAAGGCTTTACCTAAGCTGTTGAAGCTGCTCCGTGAGGAAGGTTGGCCTTCCAGGAAGGAGGCGGCAGATGGTGCCAGGCTTGGGGAGTCAGGGTTGGGTGGTGGGTGGCAGCGTTCGGTCCCTACAGTTTGCAGCAGGTCTAAGAGCACTTTCCGGTTCGCACCTTAGGTGACGGAAGGGGGAGTCACAGATCAGAAAGAGAATCAGTGCACGCACACACCGGGGGATAACGTGCTCTGCCAAACTCATAGCAGGCCTGAGCCTCACAAAACCTCTGGGATGACCCGAGGAAGGGGAAAGCACATCCCGGGTATCTCTCCCAAACACCAGGCAGCAGGACTTGTGCACAGCGGGAGTACCCGGCGCTGTGCTGCTTCAAAGGAGGTGTGTGCCACACACTTCTTGCCACTGAAGAACCACCCGTGTCTGCTCCCACCTGAGCAGTTCAGCAGCACTGCGTCATCCTGTTGTGAGCCTGCAGTGCCTGACGTGGTGCTGTGAAAGAGGGGGAGTGCAAGTGCATGCCAGCTTTTCCTCTTGCATCTCTGTCTCACAGAAGAGAAACCGATCAAGGGCTAGTAATACAAAGCCTACACCGCTAGCAAAGGAAGCGCCTACCCTGTGAGCGACTACAAAAGCATACTGGAAAAGCATACTGGAGAGGCATCACCCATGCGTGGCAGGCTTTCACCGCTTCCCAAGCCACCGTTTCAGCCACCAAGGGGAGACAGGGTGCCAGATTCACCCTGTAAGGCTGCTGACATGCTCCCTCACCTTTGCTGCTCCTGGCTGCCAACAGTCCTGGTGTCTCCCCAAAATCATTGGGGATCTCGATATCTCCTCCAAACACGACGATCGCTTTGATCATATCCAGGTGGTCATGCTAAGGGACAAGAGAAAGCTCAAGAGCCACTACGTGATTTTTCATTCCTTCCCTCCTCCTTTTATTAGCCAGATCCGCCCACAGGGGATCACCACATGGAAGGCAAGAGCCAGAATTTCAAAGGAGTCTGTCTCTGTTTCAGCCCTTCAAGAAAACCCTCTCTCTCCTTCCCAGCATCCTCTGCAGAAAGCTCACCTTCATGGCCAGGTGCAGGGGTGTGTTGCCATTCTGACCGCGGGCGTTGGTGTGGGCGCCGTGTGTCAGCAGGACCATGGCGCAGTCGAAGCGTCCCCTCTGCACCGCGATGTGCAGAGCCATGTCAGCCGTCCGGCTGGTCACGTTCACCTGGGAGCCGTACTCCAGCAGCAGCCGTGTCATCTGTGCCCAACGTGCAGGTGCCAGGTCAGGAAGAGACAAAGCAATCGTAAGGACAAACACCTGGGTGCTCAAACCATCCAGATCTCATGCAAGCAAAGCAGGGGAAGAGGAGGGAGCCTTAGCCTGGGTATAGTTGGCTGGCAGATGCCAGCTGAATTTTCCAAGCACTGGAGATGGGGTTTCTGGGTCTTTTACCACAGAACTAGCTGGTGGTTTTGCAATCTGGCTGGAGCTTCTGGATGCTTTGGGATTTATATGCAACTGTAATGACTGGCTGAGAAAAAAACAGTTCTTACTCAGGCCAGGATCCTTTCAGAATGGAAGGAAAAAGTTTTCTCCCTGAACTTCTCTTTATAAGCCAGGCAAATTTAGGTCTGTTCTGAAACTCCACAAGACATTTCTGAGCAGGATGTGATACTGGAGGAGGGAGAAGAGTCCTGTAATAGGAAAGCCCTCTGCTTGCAACAAGCACCATTTAGGTGGCTCCAGCATGGCATATCACTGACCTGCTCATCTCTGGTAGAACATGACCGTCATGCACATGTCACCCCCCCTCCCCACCTCACACTTCCCCTGCAGTCTTTAAGGCACTGATTTGTTTGCTTCCAGGAAACTGTCAGGTAACAAGAAAAGAGCTCCCTCCCATGGCAATTGTGCTTCAGGGACAGTGCTGCAATTTCCTCAACAAAAGGGAAAAGGGACAAGCTGGCAGTTTCACAGTCACAGATGAAGTACTAGGGATGACTCCACCAGTTTATTTCACTGCAAGGCTCCACTGCTCTGTCCCCCGTGGCAAACAGCACTGATTGGCACAGGGCAAAGGGAATCAAACACTGGGCTGGCTGGGCTCTGACACTTCCAGCGCTCTGCACATGCAGTTGGAAAGGGACAGGTTAGCAGCAAGAGGAATTAACTGCATGCTGGGTGGCAGCACAGGTTCTCACCATGGATTGGCTCCATTTACCTCTGCCTTCTTCGCCCAGTGCAGTGGAGTAGCTTCATAGCGTGGGTCCTTGGAGGAAACCTGGCTGGCATCTACCTCGAGGATGGCCTGGGCACACCTGTCAGACAATGACATGACGGGATGGGTGGCTGCTGTCTTCACTCAAGACCCCTGCCCACATCAGTACCTGCCTTCCACCCAGAGGAAAACCAGGAAACCCTTCAGCAGCAGCAGGGTCTCTGCAACACCTGCAAGCTCCTCAGCTGCACTTTTATTTTGCTCTTTACAGAAAGGGTGGGTGCAACAGGAAGCATACAAGCAGTACAGCGTTCAGAGCAGGAGAATCTCTTCCCAATTTCAAGCTGTGGAGCAACACCTGGGTGCTTCTCTGATACAGGAATATGGCATTTCTGGAAACTCTCAAGACCTGAGAGGAAATTCTTCTCTCCTCTGTTTCCATGGAAACATGGGGATAAAACTGAAATAGTTAAACACTTGCTGAAATTAAGAGTCTGTGTACTTCTCTATGAGTGAAAAATCACACCTGTTGTGAACAGACCAGTATCTGATGCCTAGAAAGTGGGGTAGGTAGACTTAGAAAATATAAGCATATGCTCTCCTCTCTAAAACACCACCAAACAAACCCTGCACAAGAGATCAAGTCTCAGTGCAAACTCGGTGACCTAAGCACATTTTGGGCTTGTGAATGTGTCTCTAATGTTGGAAATTGCTTTTTAAAATGCTGAAAAATCACCTAGCTGCAGCTAGTGTTGGCTTGAGAGCCCTATTTTCAGAGCTCAGATACCCTATAAGCATTAAGTATTGTAAAGTATACACAAAGCGAATCAAATTTCTCCAGGGAAAACCAAACAGAGAGTAAACATTGTGCCTCTTTTGATTCAGTTCCAGAGTTTGTTATTAAGAGTCAAGAGTACTTCTGGCCTATAGGAGACGGGAAAAAATAGGCTCTGCAATGAGAGCTTATTAGGATCAGAGCACTCAGAGGCAGAGGTGCATCAATTAGCAATGCTATTTAAGCATCAGTGAATCATTTTCTCACAACTCATTTTGAGAAAAAGTATTTCACAAAAGGTTTTTTGAAGTCTGTCTTTCTCCTGATGTCTAATACTGAATAATATATTAATTCAGGGAAAAGCCTTTCTTTTCTGAAGGCATTTCTTTCTTTCCCACACTAGCATTTCCCTGTTCATTTGCCAATTCAGTGATGCAGCAGAAGACTGCACAAGACATCTTCCTACTGAGCACAGCCCTGAAAGGGGTCCGGTGTTGGACAGTGCTGAGCCAGCAGACAGGTTCCCAGACTGGAGGGAGAGCTGTGTTCTGGCAGCCCAGGCAGTTACGTACCCCTTGTGGGAGAACTTGAGTGCTGTGTGGATGGGGTATCCCAGTATGCCCACAACGCTGCAGCTGGCGCGGCATTTCAGCAGGGAGCGCACCATGTCCTCTTTGCCCAGCTGGCACGCGAGGTGCAGAGCGGTCAGCCCCTCATGGTTCAGGTGGTCCAAGCCAGTAGTTGGGGTTCTGCCCAGGAGCTGGAAAGAGGAGAGAGTAGATAAACAGACAGAGAGACATGGAAGAGCACTGTCTCTCTTCCTGAGCTGCGAGGACAGACTCTGGAGCACTGGTCTCCTCATGATGCGACAGAGTGTTCTCTCCACACTTGCTTGCAACACAGTAGATATGGATGCACTCCTTGTTTTGTCTCCCCAGAGGGGAGCTCTCCGTGCCCTCTTCCTCTGGCCCAGGTGCTTCTGAGACATCCCTCGGCCAAAAAGGGCTCACACCACCTTGACTGACACAGTCCAGCAGACTCCTACCATCTCACCATGAGCCAAGCACGGGCCAACCAATTGACAGCACAAACTGAAAACAGCAGCATTCCCTCCTGCTGCAGCCCCATCAGCTGGCAGGAGCTCAATCTCCCCTCCAAACCCACTGCTGCTTTCAGACAAAAACAGGATTCTGTTTAAAACATGCATGTGGGAGTATGTTTGAAGGAATTTTCCTATTTTCCCTGTAAATTTTAGATCTGTTGCCTGCTGGCTGGTTTGTTACTTGAAAACATCCCACTGCTGTACTGGGGAAACCCTGCAAGCCCTGGTACACACAAGAGAGAGAAGTGGGATTTTAGTTTCTTTTCTCTGGTTTAGCAAGAAATCAATTGAGAAAAGAAACAGACAAGAGACTGATCAGACCTGGAAGTATTTCTGTAACAATGAGCCAAGTTGATGCCTTCAGAGAAATAAAGAGGACACCTTTTTAACACAAAGTTCCTAACTGCCCTGCTCCACACCGTGGCAAGCCCTCATCCTCATTCCTCCACCATCATGCATTAGAAAACCCCAGCACAATCTGGAGGGCAGAGGGAGGGCTGTCACAACAGGTATTGGGCAAACGTCAAAGTTGCAGCCATAGCAGAGAGTCAGTCTTGGGCTCCCACTGAGTCTTGGGAAGCTGACGGATCTCAGGAACCACATGTAAAGCCACCCACACCCTTACAAACCCCATCACTCTGCCCAGCACTTCTCAGCAATTGAGAACACGTCTGGCTTCAGAGTGTCTCTGCCTCAAGGCTGATCGCCATCCCCTGTGCAAAGCCACTCAATTCAAACAACAAGTCCTGCAGCTCAGGACAGCCCAGGGCAGCTCCAAACTGTCCTTCAGTCTGTGGGCAATGCATGATCCCCCAGGGCAATGTGAACACACATTTCCCTACGGGAGCACTCTGCCCGAAACAAAATACCCTGCAGGGAGGAGAGAGGGAAGGGACAGCCACAGGCCTGAGGAAAGGCAGGATGAAGGTCTAATGTAAATAGCAGTAAAGGACACTTTCTGAGGAAACTTGCTTAATATCCTTGTTCCAGTGCAGGGTGGAATTGGGAGCCCCTTTATGGGAAACAGGACCAGTAAAGAGAGGAAATAAGAGGCTGATATCAGACTCAAGCATTAACTAGACAGGGGGAACTGACTTTCTCCTCCCCCCGTCTGCAGCTGTTTTCCTGTCTCTCTCCTCACAGCACAGAGATGACCCGTTCTGGTCCCACTTTTCCCCAGACTAGAAATCGCCCCCACCTCAATGATCTGGGGGTTGCTCCCTCGCACAGCGTAGTGGAAAACAGTCTCCCCGTTCCTGTCGGTAATGTCCACCCGCGCGTGGCACTCCAGCAGCTCCAGCAGACACTCCATGTCTCCCTTGCGGCACGCCAGGTGCAGCGGGGTGCAGCCATCCTCGCTGTCCATGCTGTTCACACAGCTGCAAGAGACAAGTCGGTGTGAGGACGAGGAGTGGCTGCGAGGAGGAGGACGTGCAGCCGCTCCAGGAGCTGATACAGAGGTACCTGCCCTATCTGCCCCATCTGGTGTGAACCATGAGGATCACAAAAGCCCAGCCTCTTGCCAGGGAAGAACCACAGGGAAGGGCTATCAGGCAGTCCTGCCCTGGAGTCTATCCCTGACCTGGTGCTTCTTCCTCCGTATGGGATCGGTTCCCCCTGCACAAAGGCAGGCAGGAGACAGCTTAGAGTCAGCAACCTAGTGGTGCCCTCCAGTCCCCTAACTCCTCACTAGTCCCCCCTATCATCAGTGAACTCTCTATGGAAACAGAGCAAGGGCTTGTAGCCAAAAACTTGCCAGACAGTCCTCCTGTGATTTACAAATTCAGCCACAAGCCCCTCCAAAGAGCAACTCCACAAGCGCTGTGATAATCTGACCAGCATCTCTAGCAGGACACTTCAACCTTTTCCCTCAAACACCAGAGCTCTGGGCTCTGCAGCAGGGGCCTGAAACCCACCAAGCAGCCCTACAGTGGCCACCAGGGCCCTCTGCCACCACTGCTGCCATCAAGGCACGGTGTAGCAAGGCCAGCACTTCCAAACTCATCTCTGCAGGAACCACAGGCTTTAAGCTACCCCAAGAAGCAGCCCCTGCTGCTTTGGCACATCAGGAAGAGATACTCTAACATGGCCTGGCCCAGCCTGCCCCCCCAGCACTGGAGACCCCCTGCTCCTTGCCTCAGGATATGGTTGTGCCGGAAGCTCTCCCGGCGGCCGAACTCCACAGCGACATGTGCCGCGGACCAGCTGGGGTGGCTGCGGAGGAGGTCGCAGAGCTGCTGGAGCTCCTCCAGGGACAAGGGCTGGCACGAGCTCTCGTAGAAAGGGCGCAGCTGCCGGGCATATTGCTCAAAGAGCACCAGGGCGTCTGCTTCGTTGTCCAGCTGGAAGAGCCTGGAGGAAAGGCAAACACAGGGTCGGTCCTGCTCAAAGGAACAACCCTGACCCCATGTTTCTGAGAGGAACAGTTCTTCTCGAAACAGCAGTGCTGGGAACTTTCCTGTTTTTCCTCAACTGGCACCATGCTTGTTCCAAGAGAAGCACGGAAAATGTTTCACTAGCTGAGAGCATGTCCCATTCCTGAGGAATGTTAGGTTTTGGTCCGAAGTACCCTATGTTCCAGATGCTGAACCCGTAACAGGTGTGAGTGGAAGCACATGTACCTATGGATGCCCTGAACTATTTCAGAGCTGCCTGTTGTCACAGTGCTTGGACCCTGTCCTGTTTCGTTGGCCACCCACCTCCCCAAGGGCCTCCCAGCCCGCACAGCCACCTGCTGCTCAAACACATCACCCCGCAGCTGTGAACCAGTCCCAGGATCAGCCATACCGGGCCTCTGGTTTCCCTCTGCAGAAGGGATGGCTAAAGGTCTGCCACTCACCGGAAAGCGACCTGCGGGCTCTGTGGATTCACCAGGAGACAGTCCCAGGAGCGAGCGATGCTGTTCTTGTACAGGGCCACCCTGCCCTCCTCCCGCAGGCAGGTGTGACCGGCATACTCCGCGGCCGGCACCTCCTTCACCCGGTACGGGTTACTGAATATCTGCGTGACGCTGTTGATGGTGTTCACCAGCCGCCCCAGGAACTGCATCTTCCTGGAGCCTCAGGCGGCTCCGGCCGGCCGCTACCCTTACACGGGCTGTGTGACTCAGCGCCTGAGTAGGAGAACCAGAATTGCCAGGGTAACACGGGGCCGGGAACAGGGATGGGAACGGGGATGGACACTGGGACGGGGCCGGGCAAAGGACGACGGGCCCCCAGCGCCCCCCGCGCGCAATCCCCGGCGCGCACCGCCCCCCGGGAC